CTACCTACCTACCTACCTTCCTACCTACCTACCTACCTACCTACCTACCTACCTACCTACCTACCTACCTACCTACGCACCTACCTACCTACCTACCTACCTACCTACCTACCTACCTACCTACCTACAAACTTGTGAAGATGGTTTGATGGGGTTCGCGTTTTGACCCTGGGAGCATGCTCAGATCTTTTCGACGCTGCCATCTGCAAGAACTTCTGCGGATGTCCTGGTCTTAGCTGCCGAAGTGTGTAAGTGAATGGGCATGAGTGGAATGTACTGCACGGGTTCCGAGGCTTGCCTCATGAAAGACAAGCGCCGTCAAGGCAGATGTTTATTCTTGGTCTTAAGAAGCTTAGTTGATTGGTGGTTCCCTTTTGAAGATCAGGCCTGGGAAAGGAGAAGGCGTGCCGTGGTCATCTTGCTGTGCATCCTGCTGCGGGCTACATACGGTCCTCTGACAGGTTGATCGATGCGATCTCCAATTCGGAGTTCGCGGAGTGGTTCGTTGCCTCAGGGTGCGGATGTGCGAGAACACGAGTGTGAAAATGGTCTGTTGTAGGTGGGCTTTGGCGGCAAACCCAACACGCAACGTGCCTTGATCTCAGTGCGGCGGGTCTGTGCATGTGTTCCCAAGAATACAGAGCCTCGTGCAGATCTGCCGCTGGCGTTTTGTGCCGTCACGCCGAGTGCTTCTTGATTTTCAACGGACCGTGCTCGCCTTCTCGGCTTGCGCGGTCAGTGCGCCGGGGAAGCCTCCAGCCAACAGCACAGATGAACCAGTTTCTGAAGTTGTGTGAGGTTTCGTTGCGGTGTGTAAGGGCCCGAAGCGCAAGTTCCAGGAGCCCACCGAGTCAGATGCAGACTACTTTTCCGCAACGGAAAGTGCAGCCTCGGACTCGGAGGCTGGCAGCCTGCAACTTGCAAGGGCCTGCTTCATCAGGGAAGTGCGTGGACGGTATGGTTCCCTGCCAGAGGAGCTCGGGCAACGAAGAATGTGATGGCAACAGTGCCAGGTTTTTCCCGTGCACTTGGCTGTTTTGCTCGTCGCAAGCTGTTTTGCCAGGCCCTCTCGGCCTCTTGGCACTGCTTAAGCCGGAAGTAGCAGGAGTCGCGCGGGAATGGACGTCTTGTCTTCACATACCATACATACATACATACATACATACATACATACATACATACATACATGCACGCATACATACATACATACAGATATATGTATATATACATGTAACTACATGTGTATATGTGGACACATACACACACGCACACACTTACTTGCTTACATGCTTGCATAGATACTTTTATACATACATACATACATACATACACATACACATACACATACACATACACATACACATACACATACACATACACATACACATACACATACACACACATACACATACACATACACATACACATACACATACACATACACACACACGTACGTACGTACGTACGTACGTAGGCACCTACATACATACATGCATACATACATACAAACACACGAAGGCTTACTATTTTGACCCCAAATCTGCAAGAAAGAGTTTACGGCCAGAGCCACTTCGGTTTGAGTTTGAGCCGAGCGAACCCCGAATCCCAAGCAGTAACTCCTTTCGGGAGGCATGTGCGACTGTGGTAGCTCAGAACCTGCCTTCTGATTTTCTTAAGGTTTTGTAAGCACAAATGGATAGTTGTAGCGAGCCACATCAATGCCTTGGTTTGGCAACACCCGCACTCAACTATAGATTTTTCATAAGTTCTAGATGGCATGTACATTTTACACCCCATGACTTCCATGATGATGATAATGGTGAACAAGGTGGCCATGCTGACGATGGTGATGATGATGATCATGTAGAAGCCTGGAAATGCCTGGCCGAACCCAAATGAAGGTAGCAGACTTTCTTTTGGAGAAAGACCAAGGCCCATTCAATTGCAAACATATCTTTCGCTTGCGGCTCGTTAAGAATACCTCGAAACCCTCTTGAAATTTTACCAATATACTTACTCGAGCTCATGTTTTATTCTACGTCCTCGCTTCTTCGGGAGGTGGACCTGCCCCACCCGTCACTGTTTGGGGATAGGTCAGGGTGTTCCGGGTTTGTTCGGATTTAATCGGGTTTGGGATTTTAGGACTGTAGAGTGTGACAGGTTGTAGGGCTCAGTGCTTTAGGCTTTACTTGTGAAGAGGGTTGGTAGATGGCTGAGGTTCAGTCTCAAACCCTACATAGTGTACAACCCAAAACACGTTCTCAACTTTAAGCCCCAGAAAGGTAAAATCCCGAAACCCTATGCCGCCCAGCCCCACACCCAAACAAAACGAGCGGAGGATTTCGCAGGCGGGCTCTACATCCAGCCGCTTGTTTGACATGTTCTTCTTTCTCTGAGCTTCAGAATTGGCTAGTATTTTGGAATACTTTGCCTCTGGATCATTGTCATTGCTAATCAGTGCTATCGCTATCGCTAACACTGCGGCTAAATACTGCTGTTGTGGTCATTTTCAGTAAGTCCTATCTTCATGCGGTTTGGTTCGTGGTTGACATCAATGTCAAATCATGAGTTGGGTGGTACTATCAGAATCAACATCGTAATGGTTAACGTCACTGCTGCTGTTCTGGCCAGTACCATGTTCTCATTATTGTCATCATTATCCGTGTTATCACGGTTATCAATGTTATGACTTGAAGAATCAGTGACTAATGTCATTAATATGAGTACTATGATTCAGGTCATTACCTCTTGTCTCCATTGTTATTCTTTGTTTTTGTTGGCAACTTTCTTTCAATAACGGCAAGCCACAAAAAGCAACCACAAACCCTAAGCATTAAACAAACCATAACCCAGAAAGCTTAAACCTAAACTTTTAATTGGAAACCATAAACCTTTAGCCGTAAGCTCCAAACCTTAAGCCTCGATCCCCACTTGCAAAGACTTAAACCCTAAATCCTCATCCCTAAACTCTAAGCCCGAAACCCTATTGCAACAAGATGCTTTGCCGGCATCAAGCATTAAATCCTAAACCGTAAAGCCTAAAGAAACCTTAAAGCTTGAACCCGAAACCTCCGAAACCCCCGTTAGTTAGACGGCCAAGCTAGGCCCACACCGAGCAGCCCCCGCAGCTACGTTCGGCTTGGGCCCGGGGACGCGGTTCTCCATCGCCTTGTGGCTTGCATCTAGCGCCTTCTTGGGGCCCTCATAACAAGGAGGATTTTGGGGATTTAGTTCGGGGTTTTGGGTTTAGGATTGAGCGGGTTGGGGCCGTTTGGGGTTTAGGGTACAGGCTAGACCAAGGGGGGATTCAGGATTTAGGGCTTCGGGGCTCAGGGTTTAGGTAGAAATGCGTAAGAACGTCCCCCTACACTTACAGTCCCTATGTGACCAAACGACAAAATCCAGGAGAGCCCTATTCTAATCGCTACGGCCGGTAGATCAAGGATTAGGGTTGGCCAAGTAAGGCTTAGAGTCTAGCTTAGAGTCTAGGGTTCTGGGCTTTCAGCTTAGAAGGTTTAAGGCTTAAGCGTTTAGGGTTTCAAAGTTGAGGGCTTAGGGTATCCTAAGCTCTCCCAGTAGCACCCCACAGTGAACCCTAGGCCCTAAATCAAGTCTGGGAGGAACCCCAAGTCGTAACTGACAGCATGGTTGGGGGGGTTTGACAAGGGTTTTAGGGTTTTAGGGTTTAGGGTTTTAGGGTTTAGAGAGGGTCTGAGAAGAGCTTTGGGGTTTAGGTTTTTTGGGGTTTTGGCATGGTCGGGCTGTATGCTGAGTCGGAGATTCTTGTTTTGTGCTGAAAAAGGGAATAGGGCTCTCTTAAGGCACCTTATTCCAAGATCTTCTTCTGGGCGGATCCTTCTATTTAGGATCTATACGCGGGACCCTATTTTCTGAGACTTGTTCATGAACTCTACTTCCGGGTTCATTAGTTTGCGACTTCGCGGTTCAGGGGTTAGGGGCTAGATAAACTCTACAGCTTTCCAGCCCCGAAGCCTTAAAGGGACGTATATACGTTTTCAGGCCCCAAGGCCCTCAGCCGTTGGCTTTAGGGCTTGCGGCTTTAGCATTCAGCAACAGACCACAACAAGGGGGAGGGTTGAGGGGGAATCTCTGCTTGGCTTATCAAGGCCCCTGTAGTATGCCCCGCAAAAAGCCCCAGAAGGAAGTACCAAAACCTCCAACAACCCAGAAAGCCTTCAGGCTATGACCTTCGTCATGGCGTGGAGGCGACGGATTCGGTAGTCTGGGCCCAGGGTTGAGGCTTGAAGCCTGTTCGTGCGATCAGGATTTTCGGAAATGGGACCGCTGCTTATATCATGCTCGGTGTGGCTTGAGCTCTGCAGTTGACAGGGTGGCGGTGGTGATCCATTCGGGGGTCAGGGTTGATGTCGTGAAGTGATTAACAGGCCCCGCTGAGGTGATTGAGTGTTGACAGGGATCTGCCTCCTCCTCCTCCTCCTCCCTCCCTGCTCCCTTCTGCTCCTCTCCTCCTCCCTCCCTCCTCCTTCCTCCCGCCAGCTCCTCCTCCTCCTCCTCCTCCTCCTCCAGCTGCCACGACTGCCGCTGCTGTTACGAGGCGACGACGACGACCATGACGACAAATACTACTACTGCTACCACTACCACTACCACTACCACTACCATTAACACTACGACGACGACTACTGTTACGATTACAACTACAGCTACAACAACAACCACAACAACAACTACTACTGCTGCTACTTCTACTGCTACTGCTGC